TCCATTTCATAGCAAATCAATCTTGCTCGCTTCTTTCCTCATTGAAGTCTTGAGGGAGCCAATTAAGAATATCGGGAAGTCCACGAAAATTATTAGGGGGTGAACACACACATTTCATACGCAAGATTCGAACTCAAAGCATCTTAGTTGATAGTCAAAGCTCCTAACTAATAGATCAAGATGGGCTACATATTAGAAAAGTTGAGTTTAAAAATATGAATCATTGCTTAAGTTTACTAAACGCCGAATAAATCTAGAATGCTTTGTGAAAGATCTTATATAATAAAAGTGATAAATTGAAAGCTTTAAATTAAATCAAAAGGCATTCGCATCTCTAGACAAATGCAAATTATCCTATGATTATTGCAATTGCTGATATAAGCTAAGTCTACTTATAAATGTATCTATTTCAATAAGATTGTCCTTATCAAAACTTGTTGCATTGAACTTTTGGGATCATAATTGTGATACAATAAAGAATAGTCTCAAGGACACCCCAACTGCAATCATTGTTGAAACAAAACGAAGCATTCACCTTTAATTATTTTCTCATGATATTGATGTCTCTTGGCATCAGTGTCACTATATTTTTCATGAGCCATCATATTATCACAATTAAAATTTCCCATGTTATGCCTCTCCCTGTTAGTCTATGTGGAATTTGATTGTATCGATTAATTAGCTTGTATTGTTGCCTCGTACTACAAGTTAATTTCTCATTCTCACTGGGGTATGGGGTGCAAGGTGTCCTCCCTTTGCTTGGGTTCGGGTGTTTTGCACTCAATATTTTTCGTACAACGAACTGGTATTGTGTACCTAAGCACGCACGCCCCGGTGTTGCAAAGTTTGCTGAGAGAAAATACGGAGAGCGGAGCGCCACAACGCTCTATATTCAGCACCGAGTGTTGTCAAGCGAACTAGAGGAAACAACGTCATATCGCTCCAAACTGGTGTCGCAACACTTTGAGTCATACTGGACAATTTTTCTTTTTCATTTTTTTTAAGGGTGGCATCCCTTGGTGGTATATAGAGGCTTTTCTCTATTGTTTCTTGTGAGAGAACCGTGTAAGAGAGAACGAAAGCAGGGAAATAGTGGGAGAAAAGATAGATTTGTACTTATTTCTCTCAATTTTCATAGTGAATTTCTTGGTGTGGTGTGGCTCCATGGTTTTTCTCCATTTTGGGGGGATTTCACATTAAATCCTGGTGTCATTTACTTTTCGCTGCTTTTATTATCTAGTTTGTTTTGCTGCGTTGTAATACTTCAATCCCTAACACTCCCTACAGGCATATATTTTGATCGTATGTGCGCTTAGTTTGTAATAACTTAAATATTTGAAATAAATTTATTTGAAAAATATGAATTTTGAAGTAGAGCGCTTTGGCGTTGATTTGGTGAGCTTTGTGACCCTAGCTGATATATATATATATATATATATACAATAAAAAAACTATCCTGATCAGACACGAATCTCGAGGCAAAATCAGGTGGTTGAAGGCTTCAAAAATTAAATATGGGGCCATATGAACTCCGAATTCAGCAAATTTATAGTCGAACGGAGTGTCTAAAAAATATGAACACAACAACACCAAATTCAACTTAATCAGAGCACAAATGGGTCCGAATCGAAGACCCGAAGAGCTGCTGGAAGGTTCACACCATGATTTAGATTACCAAATGGTTTCCAAACATGACATTCTTATAGTCGAATCAAGCGGCTCGACGAGAAAAATCCAACGAGCCTAAGATTGTCAAATTCTGATATCATTAAGACCTTCAAATATCTGACGAACGATCCACAATCAAAGAAATTAAACAATATCGATCGTCCATCCACACCACTCACCATTTGCCCTTGATCCTCCTTTTTTACGGGTCATTCTACTCTTAGAAATCTATAAATAACCTATCATTTCTCTTAAGAAGGTACCCAAGGAAGAAGAAGAGAAGAGAAGAAGAGGAGGGAAAGAGCTCTTCCTCGACCACCGCCGGAATTCCGCCTGACTTTCAAGTGACGCCAGAGTCACTACAGGAAAATCACTGATTTCCGGCGGAATTTTTCGGCGGCTTTCTGGCGGACTGATGCCCCGCTGACGACGGTGGCGGGAAGGCTACCTAATGATCTCCATCCTCCGGCGCGTTTCCGATGGCTTTTTCTCACCGAATTTTTCGGCGAAATTTCCTGCGGTTTTTTTACTTTTCCGGCGGCTTTTAAAAATTTATTGAAAATGAATAAAATTTTTACTATTTAAATGATTTAACAAAAATTATTAAAACTTATATTAACTATTTAATTAATTCTCATTTTAAAATTAATTAGTTAGTTAATTTTTATTTTATATTAAATATTATTTTTTATTTTAAATTAATTAGTTCTGTAGTGAGTTTTGCCCGACTTTCAAGTAACGCCAGAGTTCTGCCCGACTTTCAAGTAACGCTGGAGTTCCGTCCGACCACCAAGTGACGCTGAAGTTTCTCCTGACTTTTAAGGGACACCGGAGTTCCGCCCGACTTTCAAGTAGCACCGGAGTTCTGTCCGACCACTGAGTGATGCTGATGTTTCTCCCGACTTTTAAGTGATGCCGAAGTTCTGCCCGACTTTCAAGTAACGCTGGAGTTCTGCCCGACCTCCAAGTAATATTAAAACTCTCTCTGACAAACAACGAACACCAATTTTTTTATACCAGCATTCTGATATCCATGTGCAACTGAATTTCAACCTAGGAGTTGATTATTATAATATGATCGTCCTAAATTTTAAGGACGAGTCAGCCTCTTGTAACTCAAGCAAACACTAGTAGAATTCTTTCAATAAGGCGTGTCCCTATGGATTTTTCCTGTACAGGATTTTTCACGTAAAAATCTTGGTGTTTTATTTCTCTTTTATTTTGTATGATGAATATCCGTTCAACGTTGAGACGAAAAATTCTAACTCAATCGCCACATATATTCTAGCCCGCAACAAAGATATATATATATAATATCCATGCTCACCCCACCGACTACCTCACTTGATTGCTTGGCCAAAAAGAAGCACAGAGTCCCTCACTTGATTGCTTGACTAGGAAGAAAATCAAAGAGGAGAAGAAGAGAGAGGATATATCTTTGAAATATATTTGTTAGTCATTCCTGTTACAGATTTTGTTCTATTTATTTTAAGTGACTAATATATTACTTCTATTTTTTATGATTTTGATTTGTATGAATTTCATCTCTCATAAATTTACAAACATTACAATATCTTCTGATTTTATAAGCTTTCACTATGCAAGTTTTAGTATGTTATAGATTTAATCATTCTGAATGATTTGATATAATTTTATTATATTTTAAAAGAAGTATTTAATGATATCAGATATATGATATGATAATTCTAATTGTTACCCTACTAATCCACGTGATTAATTGATTAAGAGTTATAAGGAGATGGAGATTGATTGGGACTTACAAAGAGCTGGGGCAACAAATTCACGTGATTCAATGGGAGTTATTATGAATATATTAATTGAAAGTTATAAGGGATGACTGCTTGAGAGACATGGTGCAGGATCAAGATATCCTTAAAGCGCACTATTGAATATCTAAATACTGATACCAACATTGTTACGAACACTATATTGATATTGTGGCTGATATTAATATTGTTTACTATCATTAACACTATTTAATATTACTAATGGTCATGATACTAATATTGTTGCAGTCATTAGTACTGTTGACTATTATTGATATTATGACTGATGATATAATAGATTAAGATGTGATGATATAATTATAAATGGATACATATAATCAGTATAGATATTGATGTATATGTTTTTTATATAATTTATAGTATGTTGTTCTCTTTCATCTTGCATTGATTTATGTTGTAAGACATTAGTTATTTGTTGGCTATGTGTTCATTATGTAATTTTACATGTTTTCAAAAAAGAATAAAGATTATGTGATATGAGGCTCCAGATAATATGCATAATTTTTCTATTGCAATTCTAGACAAAATGCTATCCTTTTGCTTTTCGTTGTTCACAAGAAATTGATAAGCTCTAGTTAAATGTCAAAATGAAAAACAATGTCATTCAAAGAGAGAGATATACTATTTGTTGTTGTCCTTCAAATAATGAAGAATCACTCCTACTGCCTAAAGATGGCCTAAAAATTGTTCAAAATAGTAATCACCATCTCACCAAATCAAAGGATGATGAGCTTCTTCACAACTAAAATTTCTTCTCCCTTTCCTTTGCAAAACGATGAGGCGAGGGTTAAAATAGATAATATGTTATAACTCTATGGCCCAATAGAACGAGAAATTATTCCGTGTGGAGGATGGACGCAGCTCTACGTTCGAAGGCGAATTAGGTACATCCACGTTAGCAACACCGAGCCGAAGTACCCAACGAAGTGGTGTTGTGGCGTATTCTGATTAATCTCTGGACGACCTTCGACGTCCGCACAGAATAATTTTTCCACTAGAATGTCCTCAAAATAATATGATTTGCTCTCCCAAGCCAATTTCAATCCTCATCTGATCGATTCAAATTATAGAATCTAACATTAATCTGATAAGAGACATTTGGTAATATTTAATTACTTTGCAGTAGCTTAGAAAAATAAAAATCCAAAAATAGCTTTACATAAAACAAATCCAGGCATTTCATGATCTGAAATCAAACACGAAAAAAGATTTTTTTTTTTTTTTTTTTTCCTTTCATTCTTTTCTAGCAGCAGCTCAAAACCTCCTTACAGCCAAAGAAAGTAGCTCTCTTCACCTTCAACTCTGAACTATTGTTAAAATTCAATTACTAACAGATGAAATCATTTGACAGCAGTTTATATATAAAGAAGCATTAATATATATATTTCATTTAGAAGTGAACCTTTCAAACATTTTCTTTCTTTTAAAACAGACTTTTCTCTACCTACTCTTCACAGAACAAAAGTTAAAGCATTGACCAACCAAACATTATAAAGAACCAGTACATATACAATGGAACACAGAGAGAGAAACTGAGAATTCTTCTATCTATCAAATATTGTTTACAAACATAGAAAAAGGAACCAAACAAAGCCCTTTTTTCCTTAGCTCTGAGCACTCAGTTACTCTTCCCATATAACTTGTTTCCTCAGTTGTTCCCTTAGCCAGATTTTTTCCTTCTCCATCATCAGCCATCTTCTCCTATAAGAAATAAAATCCAAAAGTAAATTTATCAAATATTTTATAAAGCAGTAGTGGTTAAGCTCCATTAAAGAAAGAAAAAAGATCATTCAGTAGGTTGATCAAACTTCTATGATTCTTACTATTACAACAAGGGCAACAATTCTTATTTGATTCATTATAATCTTACGTTGATGAATGAAAAGCAAGAAAGAGAGAGAGAGAGAGAGAGAGGAAATATTCAAAACCTTGATAACCAAAAAGAAAACAAAAATGTAAGTGGAACTTTGAGCGGAATTTCAATAATGAGATGTAATTAATCAAATGCTAAGTCTATATAAGTGTGATTAATCATAAGATTTTATTAATAATGATAAACTGGGCACTTGATTAAAGATCACCTGGCAGAATTTCATCTGGAGGAGCTTCCAATATAAATTAAAAAATATATATCTACATAGCTATATATCAATATAATTAGTGCCACTTATATATAATTTTTTCTTTTAATTTCCTATGATGTTAGCAAGACAGATGAAAGAAAGAAACAAGCCAAAAAGCAGTGAAATAAACTCTTCTAAACCTTTGGGCTGTTGACTGGAGAAGTTGCAGTGTCTTCTAAGGAATCATCATCAAAGACTATCTTTGTCTTCTTCTTCTTCTTCATCTTCATTAAGTTTAATTTATTGCAGCTATTCAATTGCTGAGAACAAACCTGAGGTTTCCATGAAGCATCAGAAACCAAAGAGGAACTGACAGAAATATTAGTATAATTTGATGTTTCTTCTGTTTTTCTCTTTTCTGAAGCCAAGAAATCCTCAAAGTAAGAGGTCCATCCACTTTCCTCAGAAGGAGAAAAGGGTTCTTGAGAGCTATTAGACTTGGTAAAGGGGAGGTTTGGGTCCTCCATAGCTGAAGAGCTTACGAAAAGAGAGCCTTGGTTACATATTTATATCAGCAGACAAGGGCAGAAAGCGTGAAATGATGAAGGGAACGAATAAAGGAGATAGCTATATACTTCAAAAGTAAAATAAAATAAAATAAAAAACTCATATCCCATAGGCCATAGGTGTACCAATAAATTGCATGCACAGTAACTTTTTTTTTCCTTCTTGAAGGAGCAGATGGATTTTGCCATTTTGGTATTGGGAGCGAAAAAAATAAGAAAAAATATGAAATATCATATTATCAAGAATTAATTTATCTAAAATTTAATATTTATAACTCAATATGTCTCAGTTTTCTTACAAATATTAGTTCTTAAAATTACGTAAATTTTCATAAACAATAATTAAATAATATTAATTAGACTTTCTTTATTAAAAGCTATGAAGATTTGAGAGACCTTTCTTATACCCCATCTAACCTGAAAAATTATACCGTCAGGTTACCTGACGTAGAGCTACATCAGGTAGCATGTAATATATCGCCACGTGCACTTACTCTTTACCGTGCTGCCCAACGACCCGACCCGGAAAGGACCCGGGAGTTTGCGTAGCTTGGTATTGCTAGGTATTGGTCGATTTTGCTCGACAAAAATGAAAAATACTATTATGCGAAGACCATATTTTTTTTCTTTCAAGTAAAAGATTTTTGTATCTTCAAGATTTGAGGAACTTAGGCTTCATTTGGGATAGCTTCTTTACTGCTATTTAAAGCATCTTTTTAATATGAAATTTTCTTAAATTACTATTTTGATATAAAAAGCTGCTTTATAAAGTAGTAAGAAAATAGTTTAACATGAAACCTTAATTTTTTTTCGTGTGGGGGATGAGTAGGGGTGAGTGGAGGTGTGAGATCTTCATATAGTACTAGATAAAACGCATGGCTTAATTAAAGCATGTATTTGATATATCTTTAGTAGTTAATTTTTCAATTTGTTTTTATATTATTATTTTATTTTCTATGAATTATAATAGAAATATAGTAGTTGTCATGACTTGAGTGTGACACAACTATGCAAAAAGATGGCCATGCAAGATAGTCAATTCTAATCTACCAAAACGCACAAGTCCAATGTCACATCACCTTTACAAATTTTTTTCCAAGGCCCCTCAAGAAGCTTCTATTTTGATGCTAGCATGAAGCTTTATGAATCATCTTTTAAAGTTTCCAAGAGGATGCATGAACTTGAAGAATTTGGCCACAAGATGCATCCCCCTTAGTCAGGAGCAATTATTATGTCCGGTGAAATCCGAACGTATCCGAATGTATACCGAGCAATACTGAGTTTTAGGTGATGTGGTGCGTGATTATAGATCTCTGAACACATTCGGTGACCGGACATAATAATTGCTCCTTAGCCAGGCCTTTGTAATTCTATGCATTTTGATTTATTTTTATAGCAAATATATCTTTTATATATATATATATATATATATATATAATTGATTAGAAAGAGTTGAAATCATTCAAAAGAGTTTTTTTTTTTTTGAAAAAAAAATGGGGACTTACTCCTTAAATTTAAGCACGTGTTTTGGTACTTTTCATTATTTTAATAGAAACATTAGTACGTGTGAAATCCTGACGTCATTCGAATTTCAATCAGGTGAAGAAACAAGAATTTTTTTTCTCTTTCTTGTGCATAAAATGTGTACAAGAAAGAAAAAATTCATGTGTTTTCACATGATTGGAATATAGATGAAAAATTACATCCTGACTCCACGCATAATAATTTCTCTTTTTAATAAAACTATCTACCATTATATTAACAGTTTATCTTATTTAATTATAATTTCCCCTTTATTTATATTCTCTTATATCCTCCTTCATTCAATCCCTTCAAAACTTTTAAGTAATTTCATTTATGTAAAAGTTCCACTCAAAATACTCTAAATGCCCTCCTACCTCTTCACCACATTCACATGCTTCATCGACCTCTAGGGCACTATCATGTGTGGGGCAAATTATTACGTTCGATGTCTGGATTCGTCTGGACACCAATTCAGATGCGCCACATCATCAAAATACATCGGGACCCGTGTATTCAGGTGACGTGGCGCTTTTGGATTGGGTGCCGGACGTTCGATCACCGGACGTAATAATTTGTCCATGTATGGGGATGTGTTCGATGTATCTGCAAATAAGGGTGTGGCATATTAATGAAAATTAAATATTATAATTTTTGTGATACATCAGCAAAAAAACAAATCGCCAATAACTTTTTTCCTTTTGTCTAAAGCAAAAAAGTAAGTTCAAGAACTGAACCTAAAAAACATTTTACTTATTTTTATGTGAGCAAGTAGTTATAATTTCTGGTTTTTTTGAATTCCTGAGCAGGCTCGAACAAGAATGGGCAAGCTTGGAGTTGGTATTTTTCCTCTTTCTTATGATGTGAAGCTATTTTGGATGACGAGAGATTTAGATTTCGTTTGGGACGGTTTTCTTACTGCTTCTCAAAGCAGCTTTTAAGCACAAAATTAAAATTTTTGTACTAGAAAACTGTTCTGAGAAACAATTAGAAAGCCATCCCAAACGAAGCTTTAGTCTTTGTTTGAGACAGTTTATGACTTTCTAAAACAGTTTTTTAGTACATAAATTTTTTAAAAACGTTAAAATGGTAGCGGCTAAATTTTGTCCCAAACTAAGCATTAATCATAAAAAATATTAGCATTAGAGATTAAATAGATGTGCTCTGAATTATTTATATCCGGCCTATATTAAGAAAGGTAGAGTCAGACCTAAAAATATTTGATTGAAAAAAATTAAAAATGACATTTTTTTTATTAGATTTAAATTAGAATTTGACTCTTAATACGACACAATAGAGAAAAATGATTTATATAACCAACCTCATATTGTGGGAAAAAAATTGTTGTTGTTGATGATTTATATATACTCTAAATATGATATTTTTTTATTGAAGAGAAAGCTCTCAATCAAAATAAGATAAAAAAATTCTTTAAAAAGGACCATAATTAGGGATGTAAAATCAATCGATAGTTTCATTTTATATATCAAATTGATTGAATTTTTAAAAATATTTTAATTTAGGTTGTATATGCCAATGCTTTTTTTTTTTTTGTAAATGATGAATGATATATCGTAAAATATTTAGCTTAAGTTTTTGATATTGAAAATATAATATTTCCAATTAATCAATGTGTCATGGGTCCTTTCAAAAATTAATCTCTTGAACCTTATTTGTAATGGTTCATAATAGAATCTGTTTTATGAAAATTCATTTCAATGGCTAGCTAAAAATCTTTGTTATGGGCTTGTAATATGAATGAAGTGTATTGTTCATAATGTAGATTGTAGACTCTTACATATGAAATTATTTATGGTTGTTTTCAATTACTCTGATACTTCGATCATTTACTTCATGTAGTGGCCATGTGTCAAAATAAAATCTAATATGATTCATTGTCTCGACGGAGTAATATTAGGACAAATAAGAAAATTGAGATAAAAAACTTTCATACCTTGACATAGGATGAATAGGTTTCTAGGGTTTATTAGAAGCGTGAATACTTGACCCAACTAGAAACCCAATCCGGACTCGACCCAAATATTTTGGGTTTGGGTCAACCCATTTACCAGACTGGTCGGATTCGGATTTGAGAATTTTTACCCGTTCCTAATATCAGGTTGGGTTCAGATCATCTAACATTTAAATTTTGTATGCTTTTTGCAACATAAGATTAATTGATTAATTTAATTAGTTTAATTTCCATGCAAAAAAAAAATAAAATAAAATAATGGGTTGGCAGGTCGTTTGGGTCGACCCGGACCCAAACTAGGTCAGATTTGGGTTTGCATTCCAGTCCCATTTTCCTAATCGAGTTGAGTCATGTGATAACAAGTCATTTTCAGATTAGACCCAAATCTGCCCCTAAAGCTCATTTTAACACCACTAGGATCTATGGAGATAAAATCACTGTAGTAATGTGAGTGCTTACTTTACACCCTTACAAGATCAATATAGATCTAAGGATGCATATGTTCTGATTCACAACAAACATCAAAGAGTCTACTACAAAAAATGCTGCAACATTAATTCATTTTCATGAGTCCAAGACATCTTTTATTATGAGTACTTTATCTTTTCAACATTTTTAGTAGATAGTAGAATCTTACCACTACAGGAAAATGTGGTATTACTGCCGATGAAATCTGCGGTAACAATCAAAATCCGCTGTAAAAAAGACCTTTTCGTTGCATTTCCGACGCAAATAGTTCTGACGGTAATTCGCGCGTCGGATATTCAACACCGTGATGAAAATTCACGTCGGTATTTCCGCGGCGGATATTGCGCCGTTAACGTACTAGCGCATATTCCACCAGTACGTGTGCCGGTGTTATCAGCTTAAACTTATCCGCCGAAAAGTTCGACGATAATGGCACATTTTCCTGTAGTGTAACTTCAATTAGATTCAGTAGGATAATCATGCTACTTGAGTAGATAATACTTGAGACATTTGTAGGATATTATATTTTCTTGTGGGATCAACACTCTTCTCTTTCACTTCATTACTTGATCAACATATGCACTAGTGTAGCTTACACTAGCTATATCATTGTGCGAGGTGGTCAATTAACCACACATGTGCAATATAAATTATTTGTTTTTTACATTTAATCTATTAAATTTTGGAGCAAAATTAAAAAAAAAAATAAAAGATAAAAAAGTGCAACTTATCTTAATCTGTTAGTTGGGGGCTTTGGTTACTAACCAAGCGATCTTAGGTTCGATGTATGCCTATGTGATATATGTGTGAGTTTACCTTAATAGCTCAAATGTCCCAATAAAAAATTAAATATAATTTTTTTCTGAAATTAATCACTTGTTTTTCGACAGTATATTAGTTTCAATTCAATTCCATAATTTTGTCCAAATAATACATAGTTTGAGGGCTAAATCACATAAAATTTGATGTCTCATTGGCCAAAAACTATGAAATGAAAAATCTTTTTCTTATGTGATAATTTGAATGATGTTGAGTGATTTTTCGGGTCATT